ATAGGGGCTATACGTCTATACAGCAGAGGGAGTTCCCTTTTTTTTTTTAAAATACATTTAATATAACATTTATATGATTATTTTTAAGATGAATAAACCTGTCTTTTTCTTTTGATACATTATTTGTTATTTTTAAACAAAGTAAAATCATTTTCAAAAAAAATGTATCAGTAATCATTTAAGTTAGAATGTTTATATAGAATTCTGTTTTCCATTTCTACAATAGTACCAAAGTGATTTAATTGGGTTAGACATAAAGACCCTTTGTATATCTATTAAGGGGATTCCATACCGACCGTTTTTAAGGAGTTGAGTATAGGCAATCTGTATAGTATTTGCGTGCATGTGATCGTGTAGTAAATGATCATTAGTGTGAGTAACTGACGGCGAGCTAGATAAGCGTTGAGCACTCGCACTCGCATGCACATTTCACATGCCAACCATAGGCGCAACTAAGGTAAAAATTCTGGGGGGGCTATAGCCCCAAACAAACTTCTTTGCTTCCGTTAGAAATGTTATATTACCCATTTAGTTATAATTAATAAATAAATACAAATAATTGTTATAATAATTCTTATATTAGCATTCTACATTCGTCGGTTTTTTATTTTATTATATTTTTCCAGTATGTCATTATTATTGATATTATTGGACATATCTCTCTCAATATTTAAAATGGCTAAATTTGAAAATCTATCTTGCTCATACATTAGATATACAGGTTGCACATCGACTACTGATAAGGTGAAATACGAAATGACTACCAATAATTAACCAGTGGTGCTCCAAGCGGCAGTATTACAATTAACCGATTATAGATATATAGGTGTAAAATTAGTTCTAAATGTCGACACATATGGTTGAGTGTTGACATTAAGCGCCACTAGTTAATTATTAACAGCTGTTTTATGTAGTCACTTTGTTAATCAATCTGAAAGCCGTTTATTATAGGGCGATGTGCAACCTGTATATCTTTAATCGTGACTATAATGTATAATAATTAGTCGTTATTACTGTTTAGATAAACAACATAGATAAAAACATTTTTGTTATCATTGATAACTTAACATTGTTGAATGTTGATAGGTTATCAACTATATTAGCACAAAATAAATTGAAGTCACATGAAAAAAAACTGGGGGGGCTATTTGGCAAACTGGGGGGACTTAGCCCCCTCTAGCCCCCCCCCCCTAGTTGCGCCTATGATGCCAACAACAAATTTATTTCATGGTGAAATGTTGTAAATCATAGACCTAAACGAATTCCAACGTTCCGACCTGAGTTTTACACCGATAATAATTTTGAAAACAAATTTTGTTTTGTTGTTCTATCAACTTTGAATCTTTCGAGCCACATTTTTAATTTATTATTCTTAAAAAGAAAAAACCTCGCTTGAAATTTAGAAAAAAAACTTATATTCTTAAAAAATGTTATGGACATAAATAGTTTTAAAATGTTTTGTTTACCATTCTGATTCGAAGGATTCAAAATAAACTTCATAATAAATTCAAATATGTTTTCAAAAATTATTATAGGAGTAAAACTCGAGTTAGTACGTTTTATATAAAACGGGTCTATTTTACTCTTTGGTCGGCAGAGTCCTACCCCCACCTCCACGCGGTGCCGACTGGAAACGGAATTCCGGTTCCGGCCAACGGGGGAGGCACAGAAGGCAAACTGTATAAAACCGAACACCGGCGGGTCAACACCAGCGACCAGAGAGGGCCAACATCGCCCTCCAACTACCGACATCACGGACCGAAGGCTCGATGCACAGACGACCGGGAAGGTTAGACGGGGACCCAGCGGTTAGTAAACTAAGCGGCTCAGTATCATCATCCGAAACTGCCCCACAGCACAATTCGTCACCGTCCGGGTGATCGCGATTGATGAGAAAGGCCGCTAGTCAGAACGCCTCAAGAATCCGCCGACCGGTCATCCAAGCACCGAGCAGCACGACGAATGAACGAACGGAGGAACCAGAAGGAAAACTGAACAAACCAAAACACTGGCAGGCAACAGACCAGAGAGGACAAACATCACCCCCACCCGACAACAACAGCCGAAGACGGACTCTGAAAGACGAGCGGAAAGCCGCTCCACACCGGCGCACCCGCACCCCCAACCACCTCATCCGAAACTGCCCCACAGCGGCAGGCGCGCCCCGGGACATTAGTAGGACGCCCACAGCACGGTTGGTCACCGTCCGGGCGATCTCGATTGAGAGTGAGAGGGGCCGGGCCCAGCGTCAGGAGGCGCCGCAGACCGCAAGGCTCGCAGAAGGACGAGACAACAGGAAACGGGCAGACGGAAAACTGGCAAACCATCACCGGAGGGACGCGAACTCCAGAACAACATAAGGAGAATTCACGAGGCACGAGACTCAAGGCCGGCTAGCTAACTAGCCGGGCCGGGAAGACCAAGAACGTGTCTTCGGGACTGGCGGGCAGCAAAGCCGGGTCGAGAAGACAAAAAAACGCAACCAGCGGGCCTTCAGCCAACAACAATGTTATTTCTACTAAAATGTAAACTAGTTTAAATGTGCGCCCATTAAGGGACAAAAAAAGGTGTAAAATATTAATTATAAAATGTCACATTATTTATTTAAATTAATAAACGATGGCGGCGTCGCGGAAGTAGTGCGAAAGCAGTTCCCGCGACGCCGTCGGTTCAAAACTGGAAAAAAAAAAAAAAAAAAAAAAAAAGGTCTATTTTACTCTAAAAAGCGGTAGTGCGGAATCCCCTTAATCTATTATAAATTTCTTGAAGTGGATATTTTGCATATTTAATTGATTTTTTTAGATATTGTAAAAAAATCATATTTGAAACAGTTAAAATCACAAAAATGACAAATCAATTTTACCTGATTCATCACTTAACGCCTAAACTCTATATAGGTATACGATATATTTACAATTTAATATTATTTTAAATTATAATATTTATTTTATTTATTGCTTGCTTACTGTTTCGAGTTTCGTCTTTTTATTAAACATACCTACCAGAAATAGTTTTCGATTCATTTGCAGTTTGCAGCAATATTATATTTTTAGCCGGACCAACACTGCTCAAAAGATTAATGTAAACACACGTCAAGAAAAAAAATAATTTTAATTTAGGTAGGATAGGTACACCGTACACAACTAAATTAACACAATACGCAGAATAGTTGAATAGTTTACCATACAGGACTTTCACAACTCGTAGGTTGACTGAAGTCTGGGATCAATGGACGAATCGGATTAATTAATAAGAGTGGCAATCGGTTGTTGTTTTTAGAATTTGTATTCATTTTAGATTTTAGAAATAAAACTATACGGGATTACGATAATAATTATTATTATTGCTATATACACTCACACAAACAAACATACATAAATACATACCTACATACAATGTGTACGTCTAAATATAAATATATTCCAACTATCAATTATTAGTAAAATTATGGCTTTGCACCGGAATCATTTTTTCGGGTTTCGGGTGTTGGAAGACGATTCGGGTTATTGAATTCCGGTGTTACTGGTTAATACACTTTTCTGGTTACGGTTAAATGCAAAATTTATTCGGATTAATTATGGTTAGTTCGGGTGTTAAAAAAAACACATGTTGTATATCAATTAACATGAGATTATCAATGCAAATTTGATATAGTAATCTGATTTTATATTTAAAGTAAACATAATGAAAAAATTTAAAAAATTAAATTAAATATTAATACTTATTAGTTATTAGTTCATTAGTTATAACTTAGTACTTACTCATTCCTTTTTCTACAGAAGAAAGTTCTCGCTTATTACATATTTTAAGTTTTAACTAAACGTACCTATTTTCGTTACATTTATTTTTGATTAAGAATGTTAGACAATTACAACTGTCTATTATTGAATAGTGTTAAATAAAATAAAACAATCATCTAGCATCGAGGTCTTTTTTAATATTTAATTAATTATTTTGTTGGTTACAGAAAAAGTAAATTGAGTTATCCGTTACACACTTACACGACTATCTTCTTATATTCTTTGTCCCGTTAGTTGCAAAAAATACATACAAATTTATATGCCACTTAATTTTCAATAATTCGGGTTTCTAGTGAAGTTTTTGGGTGTTAATTTTTTTCAATTGGTTTTGTGTATACAGGTTTCTGTATAAAACACGGACTGAGATACAAAATGTAACGCTAAATAAAACCACTGAAAACTTTCGATTATGAGTGTCGGTGATAACAGGGGAACATTTTGCGGGCCGTCCCCCGTCACCAGCCCACCTAGTCGTTTCCAGTCCATTATATCTTAGTTCGTGATTCAAACATATTTTATTATAGGTACCCTAGTACCCTACTACCATGCAACGTTGCAATTTGCAGATATTAAATAATAATACTGTTAGTTATCCACTTATCCTATTCCTTAGTAATGTGCTTGGGGTAGTTTAGTAAATATTAAAGCCAACAATGTTGTTATATAGCTACCGGTATCATCGTTGTATAATAAATATTAATAAGTGTGGTCTCAGTGTACATATACATACATAGCATACATATTATCATTTATTATTAAATAGACAGTATTATTATTTATTAATATAACAATGATTGTTCACTATATATTACGGGACCACAGTATTAGCACGTAGTCACGTAGAAAAAAATATTCTCTCAGAATTTTGACTTCATAAGTAAACAATTTTGAGTTTTGTATTTGTAATTTCAAAATTCGTAATTCGTTACTTACAATATTATTAGGCAAAGTATTATTTACTTGTAACATTTTATTATTATTAGTATTATTATTTTAGGTAGGTATCTATTTCAGACTAGTATTTGGTTAACATACAAATGTTGTTTCCATGGAATTTGTCAATCGTCTTACAATTGTTAAAAGTTATAAAAAAAATTGATTATTGCATATACGTAGGCATAGCGAACTGATTATAGTTATTGTCATAATATTATTATTATCATTATTTATTATTTTTCCAATTATTTCTAACACTTTGTATTAACATTTGACCAAGAGACGATTAAACACGCTGCACAACACACGCCTACAATTTTTTTTAATACTGGACCAATGCGAACGGCTTCTAGGCTTGACCGTTTTTCTGGTTATTACCACTGTGTCCTGCTGGCCCGCATTAATAACTGGCCTCTCCACATAGGGTCCCGTCAGGGTCTCAAACTCTGTTTGTACTGCAGCTGTGTCATCATACGACGCTTGAATTTCCATTTCTGTGGTCATCACATCGATGTTTGGCATTGAAAAAAACCATGTCGTAAGCCGATCTTCAATGTATCTTGGCTCTAACTAAGTCCATGTCATCTAGTGAAGCCGTGGTACACGCTCGCCGTCTAAAGGTTTAACCGTCTTCACGACCAGTGGCGCACCCAAGGGGGGGGGGGCTTTGGGGCTTAAGCCCCCCCCAAAAAATATTTTTTCATTAAATTATACATTAGTATAGAAAATATAGTATAACAATGATAAATGATAATGTTTTATTTTAAAATTTTGTTATTATGTTAGATACACATATAATATATACATAATAGTTCAATACTACGCGATAAGGTTTGTGACAATCAATATACCTACTCTACGGTGGCTATCGTCGATTTTTATTTCGTTGAAAATTATTTTTAGATTTATAGATACAATAACGATTACGTACGATCGACTTTGATTGTTAACTACGATAACAATGATAATTATGACTTTCGACTGTCTGTGGCATGAAAATCTCGTTTAGATAATTCAGTCTGTTCGATTTTTTACAAAATTGGTTATTTAAAAATTAGTTTTAATTGTTTACTTGTGTGTAAGGGAAAAAGAAAAATTATTAAGCCCCCCCCCCCCAAGCAAAAATTCTGGGTGCGCGCCTGTTCACGACTACCACCGGTTCCGTCATCGCAGCATCCTGCAAGACTACATAAACGACTAGTGACCCTGCTACATTGGACTCGGTCAGGATTTTCAAATCTGTTTGTACTACTCTGTGCAGGCCAACGATGCTTGAATTTCCGTTGTAGGGGTTATCACTTCAATATTCTGCATGGAAATAAAACGTTTCGTAAGCCAACCTCCAGGTATTGTGCCCTCATCCAAATCCATTTTATTTGATGAAGCCATGGTAGGTACCAAAAAAAGGCGTCTATAGGTTTAAGGGGTATGAATAGTATTGAAAAAATCTATAAAAATGTACTTTTGTATTTCCAATAATATGGTTTATTAAGTGGTTTGAGAGTAAAAACACCTATTATCAATATTGTAGAAGAGAAGTTAATCTGTGCCTGTATAGAAGTCAAATTTTAATATTTGTAATTACTAAACTCAATAATTCAAATTCAAAAAGTAAAATATCATAAGTTTTAGAGTTAAATATTGGACATTGAAAATAAAATATCGAAAATCGACTCCTATACAAGCCTAGATAAACTCCTTCTCTTCAATTTGTATAATAGGTGTTCATACTGTAATGTCACTCAGTAAGCTATATTATTGGAAATACGAAACTAAGTTTCAGTGGTTCACTAAAATTCACATTTGTAATTAGAGTGTAAAATGTTCCGTTAATGACATGTGCGTGCACGTGCGGGTGTGCTCCACTATTTATTTTATACACAGTCACTCACACTAATAATCACTTACTACGCACACATTTACACGACCCGCATGCACACAATTAGAAAATTGCATATACCGAACTCCTTAGAAACGGTCGGTATGCATACCCCTTAAGGCGGCTCTAAACGATTGGATTTTTCATGCATTTAGATCAATAAGCTGGCGAAAAATACACATACTTCTAGTAGTCCAATTTCAATTTTGAATACTTATTTGGATTCGTTAGCCTCTTTTCTATGATCTGTAGGAAAAACTTTTTCATCTTTTTGTCTAGTTAACACTTAAAAGTGCAAGTTAAATTTGAGAAATCAAGCAGTCATTTGGAACCGTAATATACGTAAATTATCTAAAATATCCAAAATCGGTTTCCTACAAATCATAGAAAAGAGGCTGACGAATTCAAATAATTTTTCAAAATTGAAATTGGACTACTAGAAGTATGTGTATTTTTCGCCAGCTTATTAGCATTTTTCACTGTTGTGAGTGTACAAAAATATTTTTCGAGAGTGAATTCGTTGACTTGTGCATGCGCGTACGTGTGCTATTGAACCGTGTGCCCGCAGCCGGGCGATATAAAATCTATTGTTATCGAGTTCGAATTTCTTCGAATTTCACACTAATAATCATTTACGACTAACACATAGATTACGGGCGGCGACGACAAGATTAGAAATTGCCTAAATTGTTCCCCTTAAATAATAGCCACTAAGAGCCGCCTTAACCGTCTTCACGACTACCACCGGTTCTGTCGTCACAACATCCTGCAAGACTACACAAACGACTGATGGCTCCGCCAGAACTTTCAAATCTGTTATTGCACCTTCTACTGCGTGGCCGACGGTGCTTGAATTCAGAGTTATATTGTTCACACTTAGCTTGGCCTCATCCAAATCCATTTCATTTAATGAAGCTGAAGACGTCATGGTACAAGAACGCCGTCTATATAGGTTTAACCGTCTTCACGACTACCACCGGTTCCGTCATCGCAGCATCCTACAAGACTACATAAATGACTAGTGGCCCTGCTACATTGGACTCGGTCAGGATTTTCAAATCTGTTTGTACTACTGTGCAGGCCAACGATACTTGAATTTCAGTTGTAGGGGTTATCACTTCAATATTTTGCATGGAAATAAAACGTTTCGTAAGCCAACCTCCGGGTATTGTGCCCTAGTCCAAATCCATTTCATTTAATGAAGCTGAAAAAGCCATGGTAGGTACTTAAAAGAACGGCGTCTATAGGTTTAACCGTCTTCACGACTACCACCGGGTCTGTCGTCGCAACATTATCCGTATCTTTCAGGTTAGAACAAACGACTGGCGCACTGACTTCGATCTGGATTTTCGACTTTCCTGCTGTAGCAAGTATGGTGGCGGACGCGGGACGGTGATCGTATATTTCCTTTTCGTGGCTCATCACCTTAATATTTTGTCTGCAAAATCAGCGCTTTTCCGAGAAATTTCTGTCGTGGCCGCTGTTTTATAATATAGTTTATAAACTGTGTACTGTATATGGCTACAACTCTTAAAATTAAAAATGTTAAATAAGTTTATATAAAAATAAATATTAGCCTAATTGGTAATTAGGTGCTCTGTAAATAAATTGTACCTAATGATTAACAAAAATACATTTATAGGTATTCATTAATTCTATTTTATGTACAATATTAATAAATGCCAAAATGCATAAATTGTTAAAATTGAATTAATTCAGAAAAATTATGGTTGGAACTGAGTGTGCTTGGTGAATCACCCTGTATATAATATGTATTAATTATTGGAGCAAGATGGTAATTTAGAGAAGTAATTTTTCGATTTTCTCAATAGTTATTTAATACCACGGGAAAAACCACCGACAAATTACTAAAAACCGCAAAATATTTTATGAACATATTGTATACAATTTGGATTTTTCAAATTTTATTAATAATCGATAATATTATTATAGTTATTATTTATTAATAATAACTTATTATCATAGTTCCTGACGAAATATGTAATATTATTGTTCTAGTCATTTTACTAGTTTTGTAAATGGTAGCGTAATCTATAGTAAACTGTATAAGCAATCGAGTTTTTAAAATTGTCCGCCAGAGAGGGCCACAATGCTGTATTCAGTGGTATATTATTTTATTATGATAGGTAAAATGCTACAGTGCTGGGTAAATTACTTTTGAAAAGTAATACAATTACATTACTCGTTACATTAAATATTTTTATTTAAATTGCATTCTCGTTACCTGACAATATTTATAATGTTACTTTAGTAGGCCGTTACAATAAACTTTACTTTTTAAAAAAATAATTACAAAATCAATTCATAATGGATAATAACTTATTATTAATTTATTATTAATAAGTATAGGTTGTAGGTACATTGTTAACGACTTAATGTTATACATGAACAACACAATATTATATAAGTTTTATTTCCTGGGATCTTTGATAATATTGTTGATTAATGATTATTATGTATTATAAATCGTAAATAAATTGTATTGATTTTTAATTTTTCTCGAATATCTTAGCTCCTAGTTTTTGTCATACGTTCTACATTCATAACTTATTTAAATAACACGTTACTAAGAAAATCTTAGTTCGTGTCTATAAATAAATGGACTGATAACAGGGAGAGAGAGAGATCTAGGGACACACATTGTCGGAAAAATATACCATACGTGCTCATACACCCTGTACCCCACTGGGTCACTTTGCAACCGTATGGGCTTGGATCATAATATTATATATTCATATAATCATAATGTATATTATGATATAAGCGTATATGGGGGACACGCAGTCCATATATTAATAAGCCTATAGTATTCAGTCGTTATAATATTATTTTATTAGGTACGTTGTTTTAAGAAACGTTGCGAATACCCTAGGTCAGCGGTTCTTAACCTGTGGTCCGGGGCCCCTTGGGGGTTAGGTTAGATACTATCATGTCGGGGGTCCGCGGCAGCCTCAACACATAACACACATCAATAAGTGACAGGGTGCATTATTACAATATTATTGGATTATTATTAAATTTTTCATATATAATATTATGTAGATTCTACACCAAATAATTGTATTATTAGTATTTATTAAGTAGGTAATCGGTTTTTCTTGTTCATACGAAATGTACATGCGTACAACACTGTAGTCTCGGCAGTATTATATTTACTACCACTATAATTGCAGTTGATCGATCGTAGTATCGTACTCAATTATAGTTTTATATTACATTTTTATAAAAAATTTATTGTAATAAAAATAATTGGAAATGTGTATGTTTTGTTGTCTACTAATGTAATTTTTAATATAAAATAATTATTATAATTTTCGTTATGATAAAATGAGATGTTTTGTAAAAAAATTGGTAAGGGGGTCGGCGATTTCTAAAAATCTTTCATCAGGGGTCCGCGATCTACAAAAGGTTAAGAACCGCTGCCCTAGGTATTACTCCTAGGTCCGGGCGCCGTAGGACGGAGATGGACTCACCGCCTCCTGCCAGACATCGGACGGTGGCTCGCGAAGCCAGAAACGAGCCTGACCTACCGCCTGACTCAGGCACTCTCCGGACACGGCTGTTTCCGGAGTTACCTGTCGCGGTTCAACCGGGCCGAGGACAGCTACTGCGTGTATTGCATGGACCCCGAAGACACGGCAGAGCACACCATCTTCGCGTGCCCCAGGTGGGAGGATGAGCGTGCCGTCCTGACCAGGATCTTAAGACGCCCACCAGAGCCCGGGGACGTCCAGGGACTCCTGTGCGGCCCTAGGCCTGAGGAACTACCCGACGAGCCGACAGCCCGGTCAAGGATTGCAGATCAGGCTACGAAGAACAGTCGGGAGTTCATGGCTATGGTGGAATCGATCTTGAGCACCAAGGAAGAAGATGAACGGGAAGACCAACAGTACGACTGACGACGGACGAGGACGATGAAGAACGGACCGAAGACGCCCTCCGCAGTCGCAACAGCGACACGTCGGAGGTGTCACCGACCACCGTTCTTCATCCCCCATCTGTGACACCACGGGAGGGACGACGATCACGGCATCGCTGGACAACCGGAGAGAACGAGGTTTCTAGGGCGGCGGACTCCGGTCGGCCCGCCAATAGGAATTTCAGAACGAGAGCACTAGGGCGGCGGACTCCGGTCGGCCCGCCAAAAGGTGACGTCTCAACACCCGTAAAATGTAAAATGTTATGCTATTAATATGTCATGTATAGAGGGGGGGTAAGTCGGGGAACTGTCCCGTCTACCCCCCACGTATGTATAAATATTTGTCTTGTCAAATAAACGATGGCGGCGTCGCGGAAGTAATGCGAAAGCTGTTCCCGCGACGCCGTCGGTTTAAACTGAAAAAAAAAAAAAAAAAAAAAAAAAAAAAAAGGTAGTACTCCTAGGTAGGGGAGACCTATCTCTATTTTATAACACATAGTTAGATCTCCCCAAGACTTCCACTAACACATTTTAATATTATTTATTAAAAGGGCATGATTGATATTATCTGTACCTACATTTGTTCTATATATTATATTACTAAATTATTAAATAATCAAGTTTTTTAATGTTTCCATTTTTAATTTTTAATTTGTAATGTTTATTATATTTTTGTCTTTTAATGTTTCCATTTTTAACTTTAATGTTTATACTACTTTAATTCCTTAGGTTTTTTATTAGTACCTACTCCAATTTCACCAATAAGAGGTTTTTTCCTCAGTGGTGTGTTGGGCCATTATACTCGATATTCTTTTATTATAACTACTGTACTGTGATCATATTATAGCCAATAAATAAATTATTATTATTATTATTATTATTATTAATTAAATTATAAATAACAGTCCACTGACCTAATACATATTATAGTTGCCGCGTAATTTCGTTAGTATAAATTACAATTATAATTAGCCGTAATAGTTGTACGGCTAAGCCTCCTCAGAGGTCTGCCTAAGAACATGGTAAATTAATTTTGGTTACAACTCATACAAGATATGTATATTCATATTCAATTCGACTATTGACGTCGTTAAATTAAAAACGTAATTTTGTTTAAAATACTGTTTTTTTTCTCGGGTGATTAAATAATGAGTTCTCTAGTAAATAAACTGATACGTGGACTTAAAAATAATCGAGTTGTACAATTGGGCATGAGAACTATGATTTTCAAATAAATTATTTTAATTTACCCGTATCGTAAAAAATGTTTTTGCATACGACACCTGCCGACACCGGCTGTGTTTTAGAAATCGAGTACAGCCTACCGTACTCGAAATGGCATGGAATGTGCTGGAAGAGATTGTTCCTGTAGTAACAGCAAATAATCTGATAAATTGAAGACTATTATTGTAGGGCTGCTTATAGGTATCCGCAGACACTCCTTTCGACATTAACCGGACAGTGTGTTCACGCAAGAACTCACTAAAAGTAATTTATTTACAAAAACTTGGGAAGTGGATTCCTTCGAATTAAGCCGGGTGCACACTACACCGTGACGTGTAAAATAATCACTGCAGTTACCAAACTATATCGCATAGTTGAATATTACATTCAACTTTTGACCGTGTGGTTACATTTATTTGCGAAAAAATTATGACTTAAATAAAATAACTATAATAAAATTATTTTATGGTATCATTAGGTACAATTCATATCATTGGTATTGCATTTTGGTATACACATAGAAATACGAAATCACACGACGCGGTTTAGTGTGAACTCGGCTTAACGAGAATCGACATAATATTACGGATTACGGTATACGGTAACTGGTAATCTAAATAGAGATGGAGTATAATTTTGGTAAATTAATTTGCCAATAATATAATATAGTGCACATAAATTGTAACGGGCGGCCCCCTTTTCGGCCAAAATGTACCCTTCCCTTTTCGGCCAGTGTCACTTTTCGGCCAAAACTTACCGTTCCC